GTGGGTCTGCCCTCCATCCCCCCCCGGTGCTGCTCCCTCCATCCCGGGGGTCTGCCCTCCCTCTGCCCCCCGATGCTGCCCCCTCCATCGCGGGGGTCTGCCCTCCATCCCACCCCGATGCTGCCCCCTCCATCCCGGGGGTCTGCCCACCCTCCACCCCCCGATGCTTCCCTCTCCACCCCGGGTGTCTGCTCCTCCACATCCCCCTTTGCTGCCCTCAACATCCCGAGGAGGGTCTGTCCCCATTCCCTACCCCCAGTATTGTGGGGTACCAGTGAAATGGGCTGGGAAATCTGGCTGGAGCGGGTGTGAGGGCAGGGCAGGGCAGGCCTGGGAGTGCTGGAGCTGGGCAGGACCCCCGGGAAGAGCACGTCGAGGTGGAAGGGGGCTCGCTGCAGGCAGGGGTGTCCATGCCTGTGGGCTCCCATGCCTGCCTCCTGCCAGGAGACCCTGCCCTGCCCAGAGCTGCCCCAAGGTCCTGCCTGCTGCCCTCACCCCACGCTCTCTTGGGTACCCAACCCTACAGAGCTTCCCTGTCCTGGGATGCTTGGGGACCTCCTAGCAGTACCCCCAGGGGGCTCAGGAGCACAGACACCCCCAAAGACACAGGCAGTCCCCCCCTAAGGCTGTGCCCCAGGGCCCTCTGTCACAGGGCTGCCTGCCCCTCTGTGCAGGCAGGCAGGCAGCACCCATGCATGCTCCCCTGATGTGCACCCAGGGCACCGTGCTGCACGGGGAGGATGGAAAGGGCATTTGCCTTTTGTTCCCTTCCTCCTCCTTCCTCGGGAAGCACCAGCAGCGAGCAGCCGCCGGCCTGAGCTCTGTCCCTGCGCGAGGCTCCCAGCTCACCTCTGCAAGCAGAGAATTTAGAGGGAAATGCTGGGTGATGCTCATCGCAGCCAGGGCCTGGGCCGAGTATGCCCCAGGAGAAGCTGGAGAGGCTTGAGGGGGTGGTGGTCTCATCCTCCTCGGGGCCAGCAGGTCTTAGGGAATGGCTCAGGGCAGGATCTGGTCCGTAAGGCCATCCTATGGGTACGGCTTCAAAGATTAAGTGCATTGGGGGGTCCCAGAGAGCATCACCGTCTCCCCGGGGGCTCTGCCAGCACAAGCAGCAGCTCTGCCCTGCACCAGGGTGAAGCCATGTGGAAGGGACAGAGGGGACCAGGGCAATGGCAATGCCAGCTGGTCTCGTGGCTCATGCAGATGCCACTAAAAGCGAGATAAGTCCCTCGCAAAGCTGCTCCGTGAGCAGAGTGGATTCCCTGTCCTAGGAGTCCCTGGAGAGTTCTGGTCTCATCCATTCTTCACCTGCCTGGAGGAACACAGGAGGAACAACCAGCTCCCCGGGAATCCTTCTGCGCCTGTAGGCAAATCCCTCGCCCCATTTGGTGCTAAATGTCTCTTTCCCTCCCAGACACCACGCAAACCGACAAAGGGATTTCATTCCTTGCAAAGCTTGTTCCAAGCTTCTCCCAGGGCCCGCCGTTAATCCCGGGAAGCCTGGCTGACCCCGGGAAGCCTGGCTGACCCCGGGAAGCCTGGCTTCCCCCCACGGCAGCTGCCTACAGACACGTCCCCAGCAAGAGGGCAGGTCTGTGGGACACCCACGCGTGCGACGGTGTCAAAGACACAGGGACATCCCCGAGGCCATGCTGGGAAGCGGTGGCAGAGGAGGGAGATGGATGCAGGCAGCATGTTACCCGTCTAGGTGCTGGGCTCCCCTCTCTGTGTCCCTGCCTGTTCCTCCTGCAGCTTGGCTGCCTGTCACCGCTTCCCCTGGGGCAGGTCCCGGACACCTGTGAGCAGGCAGGCAATGCCCACAGAAAGTCAGCTCAAAGCTGGTTTGCTGGCAGCAAGCAGCCCGTGCCCAACTTGGAACCGATCCGGGGATGCTTTTGCCGGTGCGTGCTGCCACGTCCTGCCCTGAGGTCTCCATCCCCAGGAGGTTTCCCGTCCCTCTCCCCAGCAGTGACTGCTGCTGCTCTGAGCCTCTCCAGCGCTCACGTTTCACCAGCCATAAAAGTGTCTGGAGAAGGAAAGGGAGCCGTGGCGTGCCGGGCGAGGGGAGGGAGCGACGTCTGTCCCTGCCGCTGCTGCAAACCCTGTCCCACCGCCCCGGGGCAGGTGGCCACTGGTCTCCCTGCGGTGACCCAGTCCCTGGCCTCCCCCTCCGCCTGTCCTGTGTGGCTGGAGAGGTGCCCAAAATGGATCAATGAGCCACCGAGAGAAAATGAGCCGGCAGCAATTCCTCAGCCCGCGAGCAGGCGGTGGGATGTCCATCGCACAGGGCTGCCAGACGAGGCACAGGGACCATGGACCGGTTTGTGGGGACCCAGAAAGATGGGGGCACAGTGGGTGTTCGGGGTCCAGAGCTGAGCTCTCTCCTCTCTGCTCCGGCTCGGGCTCAGCCAGCCTGAAGGCTCCTGCAGCTCTGTTTCAAGGTTCAGCACAGCGTTTGCTCACTGACCCACGCTGCCGGCTGCAGGGACCCCCCTCTGCCTGGACCCCAACCATGGCCATAACCATGACGGCTTTGGCCGGGTGCAGGAGCAGACCATGCTGAGCCCCGCAGCCCCTGCCTGGGAAGGATGCTCATCACCGCGCTCCCTCTTTTCTTTTCCTCCCACATCCCAAATGCCTCAAGCCACCGGTGACCCGGGTGCCGCCACACATGAGCTTGCCACAACTCAGCTCAGCCTCGGGGCACTTCGATGCCCGGCGGGTCCGGTGTCCCCCCAGCAGCCCCCCAGGCTTCCCATCCATCCCAGTGCCAGCTGGCCCTGCCACGGGATTAGGCGGGAGCACGCAGGGAAAACACCGAGCATCTCTCCGGATCAAACGCCCACGGGGCAGCGGGGAGGGGGTGTAATTCATCTCCCCCTCCCCATGTGAGGCCAGCTGGGGGCTGCCCAGCACCGGAGCTGGGGCGAGCGTGCAGCCACCATTTATTGGCAGCGGGAGGGAGGCGATCGGGGGAGTCGGTCAGGTGTGGACGAGGTATGAGGGGAGGCAGGGATGGAGCCGTGCTCGTGACAGCCGGTGCTGCCGAACGCTCGCGCGCATCCCTCCTCCTGCCGAGATGCAGCAGGGCCGGCCATCCCTTTGCTGCGTCTCCACCATCCGCAGCTCGCAGGGACCACCCGAGCCAGGTGAGGGGGGCTGCAGGGCATGGCCAGGGTCTTCAGGCCACGGCTGGGGGGGCTAAGGGGCCGGCAGGGTTGGGGGGAGATGTTGCATGTGCATCCCTGGCTGGTGGGCACAGCCTCCGGCTCAGCAGAAAGAGGAGTGGAGGGGTTGGAGGGCGGCTGGGTGCTCGTGGTATTGCTGTGGCTGCTCCCATGCAGGGCATGGGAAGGAGAGGAGAGCCCGTGGCGGAGGCCACCTCCGTGTCCCGGCATTGAGCCAGCCCAGGGGCTGCCCTGCCGCGGGGTTCCTCTGACCCCCATCCTTCCCTTGCTCTGAAACGCTCCTGTGTGCCCTGGCTCAGCTCCCCCCCTACCCTTACCCGGGTCAAGTGCTGCCGGGCGATGGGAAAGTTGGGACCCGAGGGCTGGACCGGGGGAGCAGGAGGCTGCAGAGGAGCTGTCGGAGGAGCTGGCTGGAGCTCTGGGCTCTGGGGCAGCAGCTGCCTGCCCCCGACGGGAGCGGTGCCGCCGGCATTCCCAGCCCTGCCTTTCTTCTTGTCTTCTTTTTCCCTTCGTCTTTCCCCCCGCTCTCCTATCTGCTCTCGCTCCGGCTCTCTCGCCTCCAGCCCTGTTTGCTGGAGGAGCGTAGATGCCCACGTCCTGCTGCTGGTGGCAGATGCTCTATAGCCCCCCATGGATACAGATTCTGATGATGGCCAGAGCCCTCTTCCTCACCACTCCCTAACTGAGCCTTTCTGCAACCAGTCCTGGGGAAGCCCCGGCACAGCCCGAAGAACACAGCTCTGGCACCATCCCCTCCGGACCTGCCGGGACCACATCTGCCCCCAGTGCCCAGTGGGATGGGTGGTTTTCAGCTCAGGGGTAGCCCAGCACGGCCACGGCAGGGCTGGGTGCCGGGGCAGGACAGCCGGGGGCATCTCAGGGATCCTTGGCTGGAGGGAACACAACTCGCTGCGGTCCTCGCCCGCTGGGTCCAGGGTGTTTAAGGCTGCAGGAAGCCATCAGAGATATCCCCATCGCCTGAGACAGTCACAGAGACCACCCCTGCCAGCTCTGCCTTTGCTCGGCACTGAGCCCCTCCATGGATCTCCCTTCAGCTTGTTTTCCATCAAATTGCTTCCCCAGCTGTCGGTCAGGTCCCCTGCCTCAGTTTCCCCAAGGCAATGCTTGTTGCTGGGTGTGTTTAAGGAGCAAAGTGGTGTGATGTGGTCTGGATAATCTGGGCTACACGGATACATCAACAACCGTTTGCTGCTCCATTTTGACTTCTTTGGGCTGGTTGGTCTCCTCTTGCATGAAGGTGTGCTCGAGAGGTCTCTTTGAAACCTCTTCCTTCTTAAAACCCACCAATGATGAAAATGAGCTGCAGCAGGTTTTCTCCAGCCCTTCCGCTCTCCCAGGGTGGGTTACCCCTGGAGGTAGATCTCCTTCGGGTGCTGCTCTGATTTCGGTAGTGGTTCATGGCTTGCCCAGCTTGCTGTGGTGGGAGCAGGTGAGCTGGGGGATGCTCTGGTCTTTGCTTCTGTGGATCAGCGCTGCTTATGTCAAGCCGGCTGGCTTTTATCTGGAGCAGATGAGTGCATGAACCCCCAATACCCACACATCCTCCTCCCAGAGCAGCCGGGTCCCTTCAGCCCCCCCAAAGGAAAGCTTTGCATCCTCATTGCAACCCAAAACCCCTGAGCTGGAGGGACAAAAACCCTCGTCGTGGGTAAATGGCTCTTTTTGGGCCACGGTAGATGGGCTGGTGCGTGTTCGGCCCTCGCTTGGGTGTGCAGGTTTGCACATCTGTGGGGCAGCAGCCGTCCCCACGCAACCACGGTCTGTGCTGGGGGGGGGCCAACCTGCATCCCCTTCTCCCTCAGGCTGCCCAGGATGGGGTTTTTTCTGCTCGCCATCCCGAGGCGACAGCAGTTTAATGTCAGCCTGGTCCATGGAAAGTGGCTTTTCCCCTTCGCCCCCTCCCGGCGTCTCTCCCGGCAGAGCGGCGGTGATGAGCAGGAGGTTATAACCACGCGGCAAAGATCAGCTGTGGGGTCCCCGCGTCTGCTCGGCAGGCGGGTGTCAAAACAAGCATCGCTCGCGAGGGGTTTGTGTGGGCAAACATCTTGACGGCGCCAGCCGGCGAGTTCGTGGGCTGATGGGTTTTCTCCCTGGCAATGGGAAGGGAAGAGATTTTTGGCAGTGGGGGGTACAGCCAAGCTCGGCAGGTCCCGTGGGGTACAAGAGGCATTTTTGGGTGCCCAAACGCGGCCGTCTCTCACCCCCCTTCCCTCCGCAGCCGCCGCCGCTCACTTCAGCTTCTGCCGCAGCCTCCTGGAGCACACGGTCTCGGCCGAAAACCTCAGCTACCGCCTGCAGAGGAACCCGGGCAGCAGCCTCACCTGGCACGACGGCCGGAGCCAGCGGGCCGACAGCGGCCGGACCGTCAAGCTCCTGCGGCAGCCGGGGACCGAGGGCTCGCAGGTACCCGCCGGGCTCCTCCGTACCCCCGGCCCCTGCCCCGGGGCTGCCCGGGAGAAGACGGCTCCTTGTCGTCGTCCCCCCCATCCCATCGATTCCCTGCAGGAACATGTCTCCTTTCTCTGCAGGATCAGGCCTTTAGATCCTGTTTTGCTGAAAGCCCTCGTGATTATTGGGCAGTTAATTATAGTAATATACATAAATATAATAATTTAATTATTATCATCAGGCTGGGGACTGGGCTGGGGTGAGCTCTGCATGTCGCGTCCCCTCCACGCCTGGACATGGGACTAAATACAATTTTGCAGTAAATGTGCCGGAACCAAATTCCTTATAATGCCGTAAAATCCCTGAGCGCTTGGGTATGTCTCTTAGCCAGTTTTAGGCCATTGTCCTCCTAAAATTCTGAACTTCATTGCATTAATGAGGCTGTGAGCCGAAGGTTTCCAGCCATTTGCCTGCTGCCCTGCCTCTGCACGGCCATGGGAAGGAGCATCTTCCCAGCGTGCAGCTCCTGGTGCTTCCTAACCCCTTTGTAACACCCTGGGAGCAGCGTTCAGAGGCAGCACGTCCAGCTGGTGAGCACTGGAAAGAAAATGGGGGAAATGGAACTGCCCAGCTTCCAGCCTCCAACATGGAGATGCTGTGATGCTCCCAGGAGCGGCAGCTCCAGGGGTGCAGTGTCCCCTGTCCTGGTGGCACTGTCCCCTTCACCCCTTCAAGCACCCCACTGGCTCTTTCCCTCTCACACCTCTGCGAAAAGCATGGGGACAGTCCTGCCTGCACAGTCCTGCCTGCACAGTCCTGCCTGCACAGCACTGCCTGCACAGGGACACGCCAGCCACTCTCTGGGTACCAGCTGCGTTCATCATGGCTCTCTCTTGTCTGCCTCCACCTACCTCCCAGAGGGATTTGATGGGGAGAAAGGCTTTAATTTTGCCACAAGCAAGGAAAAATGCCCAAGACGAGGGAGGTGACGTGAATTGCTCCTTGCAGCTCCCAGGGGATGGCTCCCACCACCCAGCTCCCCCCCAGCCACCTCCGAGCAGCCTCCCGCCTGCTCTCCTCAACACCGGCGCTCAATATTCACGGCTGAGAGTTTATCAGAGAGACAGCGCAGCTCAACCGGCTGGAAAATGAGTCTGTGATTCATTACGCCTCCCCTTCCCACCCAGGATGCGCAGGGGCTCGCTCGGGGACCCGCTGGGGGGGCTTCGCCAGCCGGAGGGGATGATACGCCCCGAGCCGGCAACGCAGGGTTTAGGGATGCTGAGGTGGGTCCCAAGCGTGGGGCTGTGTCTGACGGGCAAACTGCTTGCAGATGTGAGAGTGCCCAGGGAAATTGCAGGTTGTTTGTCACCTCTTCCCCAGTGCCTCAGAGGGTTAGTTGGATAATAGCTGCGGGAAGCTCACGGGAAGCTCGCAGGAAGCTTACGGGAAGCTGGCTGTTATTTCTCCCAGCCCCTCCACTTCTCATCATCGCTCGTTAGTGAACCCAGAACAAATCGCCTCCTCCTCCCCACAGCACGCTCTCCGGCACGCTCAGCCGAGTGTGAAGGAGCTGAGCGGCCGGCGCAGGCTGGGGCTGCTCCCGCAGGCAGGCAGCTCCCGGGATGTGTCCGGGGGCCCCCCCAAAGGTGGGGTTTGGTTTGGTTGGGAAACCAAATTGTGCGCATTGCCTATCACGTTTTCCGTCTGCTTTGGAGATGGTCTCCTTGGTTATTAATTTACAGCCTCCCAACTTTGCCTTCTTCCCTCTCGCTCGAATGTCCCCAGCTGCCACAGGCGAGCCCTCCTTGAGGCAAGGTCCCTTTCCAAGCCCCAGTGATCCCCTGGGCGCAGCAGGCTGGCCGGGCTCCGTGGGGTGAGCACTGCCCAGTATGGGGCCAGGGGAAACATCCCAGACCCCGCAGCCCTCTGCCACCTCCTCTTTGGCATCTCTCAGGGACGTGTCATTAGTATCAGTAACCGCGGGATGTCTGGAGTCAGTGTTACACTAATTATCTCCACTCCTCTATTAGGCATGCTTAATTAGCCAATGTTCGCACATGGAGGATGACATTGCCATACTGCGGTCCAAGCACTGTCGACCTTTCCCATGCTGGCATATCCCTGCATCGGCTGCTGCTTCTGCCATGCCCCTGCCGTGTCCCAGACACGGGTGAGGACCCTGGCAATTGCGGTCCCCTCCTGTTGCGGGCAGCGGGGACCCCTTTCCCATCCCCACCTGCCCGTGGTCCAGTCCAGGACAGTCCCGGCAGCTCGGGCGCAGGGAGCCGCTTCGGAGGAGTGAAGTTTGCTGGTGCTGCTTGAGGATCAAGTCTTGGCATCGTCGGCAGCGGAGAGCTCATCGATCTCCCCCCCGGGGGCTAAACCCAGGAAACGGTGGATTCCTGCATCCCCCAGCCCCATTTCGCAGCCAGCCTTGAAGATCCCCCTGGGAGAAGTGGGCTCGTCTCTCTGTGCTGTTGCAGCTCAAGGCGTTCGGTTTGCTCCGTACCGGGATAAATCCGGGCAGCAAGGACCTCGCGAGGAAATGGAGCTACCGGGAGGCTCGGGGCGAGACTGGCTGCTCCAGCAGGCACCTGGAGGGAGGGAGGGATGCCAGCAGACAAGCCCCATCTCCCCATGGGCACCGCTTCGCCTCCTCCATCCCCTCCACTCTGCAGGTCCTGGTCCCATCCTGCCACCAGGCAGGTGCTTGCCAGGCACCAAGGCCAGGCGGGCAACTGGTGCCGGAGGGAGCAGCCTGCACTGGGGACCGGGGCAGTCCGGGCAAGGGGTGAGGATGCATGGCAGAGGTCTCCAGGAGGTGGAGGATGGCCAGGGCACACCAGGTTGATGAGGATTGCAACCCCAGGTGTCTCCGGGCACGGCAGCACCCCAAGAAAGAGCTGCGGCGTTCAAAGGTGGCTTTAGACACCAACCATCGTGGCTGGTCAGCTCAGGGTTGAAGGAGGCTGAGCAGGAGAGAGAGAGTCCCTCCTGCTCCAGGGCATCAACTGGCTGGTGGGTCCCTCCCCGAGGAATTCTGGTGGGGATGGCTTTGTACCAGTACCAGTTTCTGGTGGGGATGGCTTTGCATCAGTACCAACTTCTGGTGGGGATGGCTTTGCACTGGTGCCCACTGCCCCCCAGGACCTTGCTGGCTCCATCCCCACAGAGCTGCCCTTCTCTGCCTAGGGGGGGGAGCCTGGGGATCCCCAGGACGCCTCCTGAGCCCATACGATGCTCTGCTGGGCTGGGAAACATGTAGGGGAGGCGGATCAGGGTTCTTGCCTGCAGCAGGAGGGCCAGGGAGCTCCCAGGTGTGGGGTCTATGTAGGCCAGGACCCCCACCTCGGCCTCCCGTCCCCACTCCCCTGGCTTCTCTCACCAGTTCCTCTGATGCTGCTATTTCGGGGTAAGCCGAGGGACTCCAGAAGGTGCAAAGCCAAAGTCTGCTGGCACCATCGCGTGTCCCCGTGGGCTCCCGGCCAAGGCGTTTTCCTCCTCACGGGGCCAAATCCCATTAACCCCTTCCCCTCCCACTCCCCACAGGGCCGTGCCTGTGACCACTATGGCATCTACCACACCAGCCCCACGCTGGGCAGCCTGGCCAAGCCAGTGGTGCTCTGGACCCAGCAGGATGTGTGCAAATGGCTGAAGAAGCACTGCCCGCATAACTATCTCATCTATGTCGAGGCGTTTTCCCACCACGCCATCACAGGTACGGTATACACCCTCACTAATCACCAGTACTAATTGCCATTGGCATGCGCTCCCGGGAAATAGCTGTTTGGAGGTTCAAGGTTTGGAAGGCAGATGTACCCCCCATTTCTGTCCCCTCTCCCCATGGAGGAGAGCCGCCCCATGGCACCGGGCAGGGGGACACCCACCCGGGCTGGGCAGGAGGCATCCGCCACCAGGGTGAGCTCCAGGACAGGCTGGAGGTTGTTTAAAATGAGCATAATTTGCCCAGGGGAGATTGTAGTTTATGAAATGGGGAAGAGTCTTCTCCTCGCCTAGATTAATATAATAAGATTATTTTTATAGTTTTTTAAATACTGAAAATTTTTGCAGAAGGGGAAAGATCTCCACCCAGCTGGAGTCCAAGCTGCAAATGCCTTCCTCCAGGTCTGAATCCAACTCCCAGCCAAGTCCTTGGAGGAGAATAACCTCTAGGACCTGCTCTCTCCCTTTTGCCCCCTGGGGACAGTGGCTTTGACCTTTACATATGAGCATCGTCCTGCTCTGACCATGACGTGTGCATGGCCGGGCAGAGCTCTGCCAGGGCCAGGAGAAAGCAGCAGGGAAGGGAGCGCTGGAGCTGCCCGGGAGGGATGCAAAACCCTAATGCAGGAGCTCAGCCAGCCCTTGCATGGGAAACAAAGGCAGCATTAGCAAATGTACGCTGGGAAACAAGGACAAAAGCTGGTTGTAAATCCCTTGTCTAATAGCCCCCGGACTGGAGGAGAGTGGCTCACCGGGGACGGTGACGGCAACGCTAATGCATTTTGATGGGTACCGCCATTGCCCCGGGACGGCCAGCCTGCGCGGGGACCGTGCGCTCGGAAAAACATCTCCTGATGCGGGAGGTGGAGTGGAGAAATGGAAAGCTCCTGCCTGCAGGGATGGGTTACGTGATTGCTGGAGCCAGTACCTGTCCCAAGGCTGGGGACCTCGAGCTGCCACCCGGTGCTCTCCAAAAGCGGGGCAACCTGTGAGGCTTCTCCATCCCTGGGGGTCCAGGTGGTGAAAGAGCATTTTAGGACTCCTTCCCTTTCCCTCTCCTTGTTCCCACGTGAAGATGGGCTCCCACTTGAGTTGCACTTTTACGGTTGCTGCCAGCCAGGCACTGAGCGATGCCGTGTTTTGCAGGTCGGGCGCTGCTGCGGCTGAACGGGGAGAAGCTGCAGCGCATGGGCATCGCTCACGAAGCGCAGCGGCAGGAGGTCCTGCAGCAGGTCCTGCAGCTCCAGGTGCGCGAGGAGGTCCGAAACCTGCAGCTGCTCAGCCAAGGTAGGGCTGGCGAGAGCCCCAACAGGGAGAGAAGCCACGAATCCCAACCCCGGGGAGGTTGTGCCCCTCCTGCGGCCCATCCAGACAAGGAGAGCAGTGGCTGGGTGGCTGCCAAAACCCAAGGCACCCACTTGCACGTCGCCGATGCAAACGCGACCCACGCCGTGGCTGGGATGGGGTGCGGAGCACAGGTTGGGGTGGATGGAGAGGGGCTGCGGTGCAGAAGGCTGGGTTGCGGTGCGCGGGGACAGGCTGTGGTGCGCAGGCTGTGGTGCGCAGGGATGGGTTGTGGTGCACGAGTTGTGGTACACAGGGACGAGTTGCAGTGCACAGTCTGTGGTGCGCAGGCATGAGTTGTAATGCACTGGTTGTGGTGCACAGGGGCAGGCTGCCGTGCACAACCCAAAATCCATTAGCGGCATTTTGCACGGAAGGGATGGGATTCTCCGGGACTGGCAATGGGTGAGCTGGAACGTGCCACCCTGCAGGCTGTTTATTCCTTCCTCTCCCGCCTTGTTCCAGCTTCTTTTGGAAATGTCTCCTAGCTGATCCGTCTGTTTGGCAGATTGCACCAACACTGTGAACCGAGCACCTCTGGGATGGACTGTGCACCGCCGATACGAGACCTGAACCGCACACTTGGAATACGAAGAGACAGCTTCCCAGCCACGCCGGGGCTTCTCTCCTTCTTCTTCTCCCTCTTTCTTTTTTTATGAATACATTTCTGTGCAGAGATGGGAGGTTTCCTCCAGCAGACGTGGCTCTTGGCTGGAGGAAAATTAGCAAAAAAGCCGCTGGGACAGATGAACTTTTGCCCACCTGAGCCTGAGGGTTCACAGGGAAAGAGATGGAAAAAAGGAGACGGCGACAGGCAGGGCTCAGCATTGCGGACAAATCGAGCGCGGTTATTCCTGGGACGGCTCAGAGCCACGCACAGGAAGATGAAGCCTTATGCACATGGGCGACATCCCAGCACCCGGCGGCTCGTGTCCGTACCTTGGAGCTTATTTAGGGAGCTTTAGTCTTCTCTTCAGACTGGGCTGTCTTCCAGCATCCCAGGAGGTAACATTATCAGTAGCAAATAAGATGACCTGACCAGCCAAAAAAAATTAAAAGCAGCGCCAAGCCACCAGCGCCCGGCTCCACTTGGTGAGTTAAAAAGGGAGCTGAGTCATCGGAGCTGGAAAATCCAGGAGCAAAGGCAGGGTGGACGCACCGGGAGGGTGCCGTGACCTGGAGGAAGCTGTGCCAGGATCTCGTCCTTCATCCGTCCTTGTTTGCGGGCGGACGGGGAAGCCGGTGCAGGGGCCAGGTGGGAGAAACCGAGGATGCTGCCAGCCGGTGCCGGGTGCTGCCTGGGGTGAGGCTGGGGGTTCCTGGGTGCCAGGTCCCCCCCCAGTCCCAGTGCCTAGTCGTGCTCCTTCCCACACCCTCTGTGCTCCCACCAGCTCTTTGCAAAGCTTTGCTCCTCCGGGCATTTGCAAATGCTCGCCCCGACCTCCTGCCCAGGGGCTGGTGACAGTGCCACTAAACCAAGGCACCGTCCTGATGACCCAGCTCGTCATTAAGGTGAAGCAACTTTTTCTGTTCCCCCCCCCCCCCCCACCCGAACCCCCCCACTGTCCGGAGCCACAGACCGCTCATGCAGGCAGGTAAGGAAAAATGATGTGTAAAACCGAGGATTTGGGGGCAGGGTGGATGCTGTCACTTCCCCACATTCCCCCTCTGGTGACAAGGACAGGGCTGTGGGGCCAGGGGGGGTCCCAAAACAGCAGCACTCCAAAGTCCCTGGAGCATCGGAGCTGGCAGGGGTGCGCAGGCAGGTCACGGTGGCCCCCCCGGCTGGGTGCCCACCCACCACTCGCCTGCTCGTCTGCTGGTAATAAAATAAGAGACTGTTATTTTAACTTGCTGCTCTTCTGACTCTTCCCACACCTGAACCTGCGCCGTGGGTTTAATCCCTCCAGCCCTTCCCGGGGATGCTCAGGAATTGTCTACAGCCCTAAATCCCCTGGGACAAGCATCTCCACGGGGGCCAGGGGTCCCAACGGATGGCCCTGCGGGAACAAGCCCCAGCCTGGGGGGTTTGCCAGTATTTAAATCCCTCCCTCAGCTCCACAGAACTGCTGAGAATTAAGAAGCTGCTAACCTTTGCCGGCGAGCAGCTGGACGGGGGAAGTGGGAAAGATTTGGGGTCGTAGTTACCACTCCAGCGCAGGTAACGGCTTGTGGCAAAGCAAAGATCTCCAAAGCTCATCTGTGAGCAGCATTACCCCGGCTAACGAGCTGTGATAAGTGGGATGGGAGAGCGTGGGGCTGCGGGCAGGGTTAAGGCAGCCGGCAGCAGAGCTTGGGGCTGGCACGGGGCAGCAGCAGCCCGGTGTCATCCCTGTCCCATCGTTGTGACACTGCTCACTGGTGAAGGAGCTGGAAGATTTCCACAGGGGTGGGATCAGAGAGGAGCTGAAAACGAGTTTGTTTGCCCATGGCTAGCAAAATTTGTGATTGCACCCAAAGGTTTTTTGTCTGCCCCCACTGAAATCCCTAAGAAAAGCTGTCCCCAGAGCCCTCCAGGTAGTCTCAAGGTGTTGGTGGGGCAGGAGGAGATGTAACGCTCCAGGGATTTGCCTCTGGGATTTGGAGGGCAAGAAACCCCCAGGGCTTGGACCCCCGAGTGCCAACTAAGACTGGACGGGGGTTTCAAGCCAGCGCTCGGCTCGGGGCTCAGGGAAGGACGTGGCAGGGCCCGGGCGGGATGCAGGATGCACAGAGCATCCTCGGGCTCCAGCTGCAGTGGTCACACTGGGTCCCCAATGGGGTTTGTACAAGGCTCAGGTGATGGAAAGGTCTCAGAAACAAAATCCGGTTCTCAAGCCGTTTTGGTTTGGATAACAGATTCACCAAACGGTACTCAGATCCAAGCAGGTGAATTCTCTCTCCTGCACCAGGGTGATTTTCACAACACCGGCTTTGCCGAAGGAATTTATAACTCATATCTGTCACCCTCAGAGCAACGGTTTGGTGCCGGGCTGAAGGCAAAGCCTCCAAATTTCCAAAATCCAAATTTCTACCAACTCAGAGAAAGGCATCACCTGCAACAGGCTGACCCAGACCGCGGCGGCCGCCCTCTCCCCTCTCTGCGTGTGGGTCGGCTTGGCCGGACCCTGCCAGCGGGTAGTTCCCATTTGAGCTTTGCTGTGGTGGGCACAGAGGGGGGGCTGTGACCCCCGGGCTCCGTCCGCAGGGAACCAGCTTTGGGGCTTCGGTGTGCACAGCCTCCGGCCCCCCGAGGACACAGAAATCAGAATTTCCTCCTCTGCCCATACTGACCTTTTCAAAAATGCAGTGAAATTGGCTCTTCTCACCTCACTAGAACCTCACGAGCAACAAAGCTGGGGGAATTTATTGAATTTTAAGAAAAGGAAAGAAAACAACCAGGAAAAACACCCGTCTCCTCTGCAGCAGCAGCGCTGTCAGCCGTGGGCTCTGCACCGACAGCCACGATGGAGCCACGCACCCATCCTGGCCGGTGCAGGATCCGCGTTTGGTCCTTGTTACCCTCTTACACGGAGAGCAGAGCCCTGCACAGGATGCAGCCCCATCCCCTCCTGATGCAGCCACATAGGAAACTATTAAACTTTCAATCCTGGATGGATCAGAGCTAAATAAAACCCAAGCGAGACAACCCATGGCCAAGAGCTGGGTTGATTCCCCCACCACGGGTTTAGTTTCTGCCCGGGTGGTGGGTCCCGGGGGGCAGCAGGAGCTGTTGTGGGGGCACACGGGGCTGTGGGGTGGCCAGGGAGCGGGCAGCATCCCCAAGAGCACACGAAGGCTGCTGGGTGTCTGGCTGTGGGTGAGGCGCATCGTTAGAGGGAGATGCTGAGCTTCTCTCCAGAGCTTCGGAGCTGCGTGGAGGAGAAATGACTTCTCCAGGCTCCGGCTTCTGGCTGTGTTCACGCAGCAAGTTGGTGGTGGTTTTGCTTGAAATGCAGCTGAGGTGCACAGAGCGGTGCCGGGGCTGCCCATGACCCCTCCTGCAAAGGCAGGGTCCCCCCCCAAGTTCTGCCCCAAAGCCTGGCTGCCCCTTGCTGTGCTCCTGAGGGTGTGCGTAGCCATGGGCTCCCCTCCCCGTGTGCCATGTCCACCCATGCCAGGCTGTGCTCTGGCTCCCTCCGGCTCCTTATCTACACAGAAGAAAGCAGAAACCCCACCAGCGCGCTCGGCCGGAGCCCAAAGAATAGCCCTCTTGGGGTGTCCCTCTGAGACCCACCTGGGCTTGCCGAGACCTGGCAGGACGGAGCTGGAGGAGCCGTGTGAAACGATGTTCGTGGGGCAGGTGGGAGGATGCCATCCTGCCCCCCAGCCCCCTGCCCTAGAGGGGTCTGTGCCAGCTGTGCCTTTGTCCCGGCGAGGATGGTGATGGTGAGAGTGGAGCATCCTTCCAGGCTGGCTCTGGACCACTGCTCTGGCTCTGGACCAGTGTCTGGTGCCATCGTCCGAGGGGCATCCAGGGCCGTACTCTGCCCGGGGTAGCAGGGACACATCCAGAGCAGCCCTGACAACGGATTTGCCTTTGGTCATTCTGGGCACACAGCAAAATCCATCCGCACAGCGGCACTGAGGAAGCACCGTCCTCCTCAAGGGCTCCTGAGCAAGAACCTGGGCCAGTGGGTGCTGCACCAGGACCCCCGGGTGCTGGAAGGAGACGGATGCTCAGGTTCCTCTCCGGACCGAGAGGCAGCTCGGTCAATCCTCAGCTTTTGCCGAGGAAGAAAAATACCTTACATTTGTCTAGCACTTATCTGCCAGTGGTATTTCAGGCATTGCCCCAAAACAAACAGCGCCAGACAATGAAACGCAGATGAATTGGGCGCAGATTCATGCAATATTAAAACCAGACAACAATTAAAGTAAACAGAAAACACCAGCAAGCATAAATCAATCCCGTGCAGCGGCCAGGAGGATGCGGACAGCAGCGCCTTAGCGAAGGGGCAGGCAATGGCAGCTATCGGAGAGCATGCGACTTTGTCGTCTCTGATTAACTTTTTCTGCTCGCGGTGATTTTCTGCAATAAGCAGGACAATGCACTACTGGCATCAGAAATAATGTTCAGCATCTTCTTGTCTTATAAAGGAAAAATCCAGCAATCCCTTTCCAGTGGTAGAGGCAGTCTGCAGATTCTAGCAAGGTTTTCAAGCAGGAAAAAAAAAGCCAACACAGTTGCACATAGAAAATGCATGCCTAATTTGTCCAAGTAATTACAGAGCCCGGCTTGATGATACAGATACCTCCAGCTCTGAAACGCTGCTGATTGCATCTCTGATTCAGGAAACGATGCCCATTCCCCCAACATTGAAATTCATGCTGGGCTATGAACACAGCCTGAGATTTCCCTGGCTGCACGGGGTTCGAGGACACAATTTTCTGAGTAGGGAGGGATGGCAGCAACTGCCACCGGCTCTGCTGAACCGAGGCCAGTTTGAATCTGAATGCCAGTCCCCAGTAGATTACACGCTTGACCTAATTAGGACCCTGTCCTCCCATCAGGTGTCCAGGGGGGATTACAAACCATCTCAAACCATCACCTTTTTGGTGCTCTCAGGCAGCTCCTCATAAAGTTTCTTGCA